CAAGGTACTCCCCCCCCGCGATCCGAACGTAGAGTGGAGATGCGGTAGTTGCAGTCGCGTTCAGCATGGTTGACAAAATGTATCAGGCATTCGTGCGTCAGATCCTTGGTCGTGATTGGGTATGCCCAGACTTTCCTGCTGAAGTCGTCCACAAAGGTGCAGATGTAGCTGTTTCCGCAAGTGGAGGTCGTACCAATGTAGAGCAGGTCGGAGTGGACTAGTTGCAGCGGCCGAGTGGATGCAATGTCCTTGCGGCGAGCATATGTGCGACAATGCGCCTTGGAAGCTAGGCAGTGGTCGCAAGCTTCTTTGGTTGTGTCGGTGATGGTCAGTGAGCCGATGCGTTCAAGGATCTTGATGTCTGCCGCGTTAAGGTGACAGAGCCGCCCGTGCCACGTTGCCAGGGACTGGGCCTGATGTTTGCTTACTCTTCCTGCCAGTGCTATGGGGGCTGATCCTGGGGTGAGCGCCGATGGGAGCAGGCGCACGCGGTATAATCCCTCGGGTGTGCGATCTGCGTGGCCGTAGATCACCTTCGTGTCACGATCTAGGATCTGGGCGCCGGAGGACGAGAAGGTGACATCCATTCCGTGGTTCACAAGCACCTGGACGGACATGAGACTGATTTGCATACTGGGTGCATACAGGACGTTGCGGAGTTGGACCCCCACTCCACCATGGTCGTTGTCCATGACAATGGTGGCGGACCCTCAATGGGTGACGGGGGCAGTCGAGTTAATGCCTTGAATGGTGGATGCAAATGGCTTAGCCGAGGTCAAGTGGTGATGGCCCCCAGTCATGTGTTGCGTGGCTCCAGAGTCAAGGTACCAGTCGGTGGTATTGCCCATGGCAGAGAGTCCGATGTGTGTGGCTGGTAAGTGGGTGGCGGCCCACCCAAGCAGGACGTCTGTGCCTTGGGAGCTATCTCCTACGCTTGTCTCTCCCAGATCCTCGACTGGGGCCGGCTGCCCTGCTAGTCCCATGGGTTGATGGGGGGCGGATGCGAGATGCGCAGACGGCTTCTTCTTGGACTTGTTCTTGAAGGCGTCAAGTGTGGCCTGAGTGGCAGCGCATTGTGCATTCCAGTGATTGCCACCGCATTTGCGACAGGGTGCCGGTGGCGGTCCATCGCGTAGCGCGGGGCTTGGGGTGCGTGATGGATGCCTGGAGGGCGCAGAGGCTGCAAGTGCGGTGTGGCGGTCTCGAGCGGAGAGCCACTCATCATGTATGCGGGTGAACACTTCCTCAAGGGTAGGAATGGGTTGCTTCTCAAGCAGCTTCTCTCGGATGCGGTCGTAGTCCGTGTTGAGAGAGTCAAGGAAGCGGATGACCAGCCACCAATTGTCCTGTGTAATGGTAAGATCTCGCATGGATGCGACGAGGTTTTTGTAGTCCCGGATGTGGACGTTGATGTCGCTGTCAGTCTGAGTGAAGCGAAACCAGTGTTGAGCGGTGCGGACTTTGCCGTCACTGGTCGGTGGTGTGAAGTAGGCAGAGATGGCCTTCCACATTTCGTGGACATCAGACTCGTGGCCGTCAAGAATGTCCAGGTATTTTGGGTCCATGGCCCGGGAGAGGAGGCCGCAAGCTGCCCGGTTCAGTTCGCGATGGTTTTCAGGCAGCCTGTCATCAATTGGCTCGATGAGCTGTAAGGCGTCCATCTGTCACAACATGGCGCGTACTTGTCGCTTCCATTGGGGATAGCGTTTGACTGAGTCAAGGCGGTCAGCTTTGTCGAAGTGTGGATGCGTCACCGCTGGCATGGCCACGGCGGTGGATGGAATTGCTGACTTGCGCGAGGCGGCAGCTCTGGGCGTTGAGCCCTCCCCAGTGGCACTGTCAGCGGCCATGGTGGTAAGAGATGTGGGTGGGGTGTGTGGTGATCACGAGAGGCGAGTTGTGGGTGCCCGTGGCGCCCGCAACAGAGTCGCAAGGTTTGGGCTCATAACCTATGAGAGAGCGATGATGATAGTATTGAGTCAAGTGAAGCTCTACTAGCGCGGTAGCGTACATGTATGCGCGTGCGCGCGCGCGCGCGTCACAGGATATACGGCGCAAGCCGGAGCATATTACCCGGTCGAGTCACCTTGAACCGAAGGTGGAGGGTGGAAGCGGGGTTGCGAAGTGTACGAAGTCTGCCATGCCTCAGTGAGCGTGACGTAGCGACTGCACAGCTCGCGGTAGGACGAACATCCATGGAAATAGCCTGAAAGGCTTGCAGACGCCTCGTGATTCGCTCTCGAAGTTGCTTCCTCGTCGCTGTAGACCACGGAAACGCCAGGCTTTGGCAACGGCTCGCGAATGCCACGTATCAAGCGAAGGTGTGTAGCATAGCGTCGCCAGGTGAGATCGTGCCTGTCGATCATCTGTCTCCACGTCTTGGACACTCTGCGACTTGGCAGGATCGTGTGCAGGTCAAGATCCCCCAGCACAAAGTCCACCAGCTCGCTGGGAAGGAATGAATGCAGGGACTGCGCGTGGCTCGGTCCGGCTGAAGGATTGGTCGCCTCCATGCTGACAGCTGATCAATGTCGTCCAATGAGGTCCTTCCAGCTTTGAGACGTCTAGCATCGAAAGCAGCTTTGCGAAGGCGAGATAGCTTCCCGCGATGGCCGTTCTTGGAGTGCTTGTATGCTAGTTTGCAGAGCACCTATCAAGCCCCAGTGACCAGCGCGTTAGAGCGATGGATGATGCTATGCTTGTATGCTAGTGTGGAGAGGACCTAGCAGGCCTCAGTGACCAGCGCGTTGGAGCTATCGATGATCAGCCTGTCACTGAAGCTGCGTTTTGACGCCTCAAAAGCTGAGTGACATGTCGCAAGTGGGGTAGACCGCTACTGCTGCCGAATCGGTCAGGACGAGACCACTTTGAGGGTCAGGCGTAACGAGAGCGGTCAAGCATGCTGAGGGTGTAAAGATGAAGAGGAGCTGCCAAGCCGAGCCAGGGCTTTTAAGGCTTGAGAGGCCATGCTCGATTGGGCGGGATAGAGCCAATGAAAAGGTGCCCGGGTCAAGGATGCTTGCGGTGATCGTGAATGTGAATGATGCATCATGAATGTCAATCGCGCATTTTGAAATGTCATCGCGACATTCGGCAGGGTCTTACATGCAAGTCCCTGCATGCAGCACAGCGGGAGTCAAAAGTCGCAGCGGGTCGAAATCTTGCATGGCCGGGCAAAAACCCAGTCACGGAGACGTCACGTGATCACCTCTCAGCACATGCGACTGAAAACCTCAAACGTGCAGCATCTTCAACAGGCGCGCAAGCTTTGTTTGACGTTGCAGAGGGACATTTTGCTCTCATCTACCACCAACCAAGCCACATCGATATCTGCTTGCCGTCAGCCTCTTCTAACGCCCTCGCTGCAAGCCTAACAGATGCGCACTCCTTACAACCTCGATCCAAAGTCTCACCCTAGTCCGCCTCTTTCGAGCCACCCGTGACTTGGACAGTCGAGATGTCAAAGCCCAACAAAGCCGGTTGCGAGCGAAATGTCATTCTCTTCAGCGCCGGATCAGCTTTTGGTCCGCTTCTTCGCCTCTGTGTCGGTTGGAGAGATGGATGCGGCGCTCTGCTGCCTAGCTCGAGGACCTGCGCGCGCGGTGACGGGTCAGGCAGCAGATAAGCGTCGAGAGACGATTGATGGTGTGCTGTGGATATCCGCGCTCCTTGCGGCTCAGTCAAGTAGGAGGTTGGTCCGGGAAAGAATGCCCGTCGAGTGCAGCAGTTGGATCCGGCCTCATTGTATCGGGATGGTTCACCGCAAGTCCAAAGTCGATGTAGTTGAGGTGAGTAGGCTCTCTCATGTAAATGCCTGTCGCGTCCATCTCGATGTCCGTGCCCACAAATTCGAAGGAATGATTCAGGGCTACAGGATAGACATTTTCCTCCCGAAGGACTCGGATCCTGCAAGAGTCGATCGGCAGCTCGGTAGGATCGACTGTAGGATTTAGACGGGAAGGATCCAGGTCGATGACGAAGATGGTATTCTTGACCAATTCGTCCTTGGGTGTATCAGCGTCGCGGTGCTCAATGCTGTGGCAGATGCGGCCATCGTAGACCGCCAGCCCCCTGCACTTGCTTTCATAGCCCTTCTTCTTCTCTCCTCTGAAGTGAATCACGACGCCTACGGAGACTGCCTTCTCCGAACCGATCAGGGCAGTGAACGGGCGAAATAGCAGGAGACCCCAATCGAAAGCGATAACGAGAGTCTTTGTACGTATGTCCGCTGCTACGCTCTCGATCTTGCCAAATTTGGTGGAGTCCTCTTTCTGCGAGGGAGCGGAGCGCTCTGCTTAGTTGAAGATTGACAATTAGTCGCTGACAGCTGCGTACATACGAGGATGGTTTCGACCGAAGTCGGAAGAAGCTCTCTAGATCAAGAACCATTCGAAAAGCCAATCAGCAATCTGACGCGCTTCATGTGGACGTTGGACTCACTTAGATACAGGAGTGCTTGATCTCGGATTCCAAGTCACGACTGTCTTTGCGTTGACACAAGCTCGACCAGGGGGTATGCGGGCCACAGTGCAGGACTGGATTGCGAACGTTGGGTCGGGTGCATCAGGATTTGAAGGTAAACGACGTTCAGACGGCACGGCGAAGTGATATTCCGGCTCTGGAAAGTCGTCCTCGATACCGTCGTCATCCGAGCGCAGATAGACTCGTAAATCGCTAGGCCAGGCCAAAAAGTAGAGGCGATCGCATACAGTTAGATCCGCTGAGTCCAACGATCGAAGTGCCTCGTCGGAAAGGCCACGCCCAGGACTGAATGCTAACCATCCGCCATCCCAAGCGTGCTCTAAAGTGCGGTATGGATCCCCGTATTTCAATCTCCCTAGATCTCGCGTTCTGGATCGGAAGGTGTGACTCTCGGACGGCTCGAGGCTCCGAAATGTTCGCTCCGTTTTTCGCAAGCCAAGTAGACAAAGCAGGCAGCAGAACTTTTCTTCAGAGACCACGTCCGAGAATTTGAGGTTCCACCACCAGCTGCGACCTGTATGCCCACCTCTTGCAATCTCGCAGCCAGTCTTAGCTTCGAGCTGCACCCGTACCGCACGCTCGAGTCGTCTGCCCCTGATGAGGTCTGCGTCGACAATCATGCGCTCCCCGGTTTCGGTACTGTCTCCCAACCAGAAGGGAATAACAAGATTGCCCGCCGCGAGAAGGTGATCGAAACTCATCGCCTCGGGGCCACTCCACACTCCCTCGATCTTGTACAAAGTTCCCCTTGACCATACTTTGCAAGGAGCTTTAAAGTACCACTCGAAATCACGGTGCCTTTCCTGATATCCTGTCGCCCAAGATCGTGTCAGCTCAATGTAGAGAGCGCAAAGCTGACGAAAGGAGGTGCAGTACTTGAAAAATCCCGCAAGGCTTGTTGAAGCTTCGCTGACGTTCCTGGTTACGTTTTCGTCCACCGCTTTGTATCCCTTCTCATACGGCAAGCTTGACCCTATCTTGTTGATCAGTCGCAAATGTACCGCGTACCTTTTCCAGGTGAGACAATGAGCGTCGATGGTCGATTTCCATTCTCGATTCACTCCTCGGCTCTGCAGTGCGGTCGCCAAGTCCAGTTGTTCTAGGACGACGAAGAAGAGGTCTGTCGGAAGGAATTGAGTGCGCATGCTGACAATTCAAGGCATTGGCGAGTGGTCAACGGCTGGTATCCCAACAGGTTCTGGCCCACGCCTGGGCGCCTCGTCAACGTGTAAGTGGTGCGCTTCTTTTTCTGTCCCGGTTTGGCGTTGCATGTGTCGCGCTGGTGTTCGACATGACGATGGTGGCTGCATTTGAGGTTTGAACAAACGTGATGGACATATCTATGCATGTGGGCGCGTGCGCGAAACAGGCCCAAGGCAATCTCGATGAAGCAGAACGAACAAGGTAAAAACCTTGAATCCAGACCACAAGGCCGCAAGCGGAACTCACACTCGTCTGGCGCGCGTTCTGGGAATTCCGTGATCAAGCAGAGCCCTCTTCAAGCCTGTCTGGGGGTCGTATACACCCCTGCTGGCGCTTTCAGTAGGCGGCCTGGGGCCCGCCAAGGACCATTTCACGGCTCGGACACGCTGCGTGCTTAATTCACCTCTAACTTCGTGATTCTAGCGCCTGCTTCGTCTCACTTGCCTAGAATCACATATCATGCGGGACTTGCTGTGAGACTTCGTTCTGAATTGCTGCTGCTGATGTATGCTACGCATCACGGATGTACAAGTGGAGGCGTGACCGACTCAACGGGGCCAAGCTAGGTATCGTCGTAGTCAAAGTCAGCGTAGTGCATCGCTATATGCGTGCTTCTCGTCTCAGTGATGGGTATCTCGCATGCATGCGCGCCCCAATTTGACGTACCTCCGTCCCGCGCTTAATACATTGTTAATTGGATTCACGTGATTCTGATTCAATATTGGTGAGATGTGCGATCCAGCATTCCCATCAAGTGCTGCGCGTGTACCGCTGCTCTTTAAGCCTTCTGCACGACCCATTCCAACTGTTCAGATCGTTGATGCTGACTTTTGCTACTTGACCAAAAGTTGACCCAGCGTGACGCGCACTCGTATGCGTGTGCGCAGCCACAAATTGGCGTGCATGCGTCAATCAAGTAGCGTCAGAAGTTGCCCCTCTGTGACTGCACGTGTCAATCAAGGCGTACGAGGTTGTTTCGCATCAACATACAATCACAATCGGGGACATTCCCGTGCATGCACAGCACAGCCGCAGTGGTGACCGCGCGGGTTCATCTGCATCCGCTCATATCACCCGCAGTCAGAGCCAATTCTTAATTTGTTTCGCTTGGCGTGACGGTGCAGACTTTCGACTCACATTCATGATCGCTGACTTTGATCACAACTCCTGACTCGCTGCCTACATGTGAGCTGCATGATCCAACACTCACGATTCCCATCAGCATGTCAAGAGTCACTCAGGATTCACACTGCTGCAGTGATCCTACGCCCAGCGTGCAGAGGCTTCACGATCTGTAATTGCGTGAGGTTGGATGACAGCCCTCGGTAAGTTGAGTTCCTATATGATTGTCAAGGCGTACCTCATCGAGGCCCTATCCTCAGTCCGACTTTACCCAAATCTTGCTCGCCTCACCACTACTCAGCGTTGTCGCGAGAGGGAAACATCAGCGACACACCTATAGCCTCTGGAACTACTTACATCACTATCATCAGTCCCCAGCGCATACACACGCTCGGAAAAGTCTTTATAGAGTATTAGTCGCTGGCACTCTCAAGCATCAAAGTAACTCACCAGTGTTGGTCGCTGGCACTCTCAAGCGTCAAAGTGACTCACTAAAGCAATTGCAAAAGGACGCGTTTGCAGCCACAGGATGACGACCCCCGAGCAAGGACAACCCTTGTACACGGCTCTGCCGACAGAGCTCAATAATCTCATCTTTGGCGAGGTGGGTTTGAAGACATTGCTACGTAGTAGAAGAGTCAGCACGCATTGGAAGAGGATGATCGACTGTCATGAAGATACCTGGCGCCGTTACGCAGCTCACCTCGGTTTGCTTGCTTCGGACGAGGTGTTGCCACTATGGAACAAGGTGTCAGGAAAGACGCGCGAGAAGGACATGAAACGAAGGTTGCAAACGACGCAGCAAAGGCAGACCTTGCCAGACAAGCAGCTGCGAGCGAGTAGGCGTCGGGATCACGCTTCGCGAAGCTTGCTAAAGTGTTTTGACACGTATGACTCGTACAGGGGCCTGTGTGTCCGCTATCACCAAGTCGCTGCTCAGTGGAGCTCGTTCAAGCCGACGATAGCAGCAGAAGAATGGTCGGCACACGCCAAGAGGGCCACATGCTCTTTCACTTTGGACGGAGGATTCTGGAACGGATCAGAGCCGATGTTTATCGATCACGACTTGGAACATCTCGCGATACCTTTCTGGCACAAAGAGGGGGGCAACGTCAATGGATATCACAGACTCATACTCGACTCGTCGACTATTGTCGAACCGTCAGAAGGCAGTGTCACACTGCTTGAAGCTGAAGACGTATCATCTGCACCGACCGTCTGGACAACTACCTTTCTCGCGGCACGTTGCCAGCGCTTACGTGCTGCACAGTTGACAAGACAGATTAGCGGGACCAGCAGCGATGCTCAGAATCAGCCGACAATTTGTGCGATCAGCAGCGAGCCTTCTGCCAAGCGCAAATTTGTATCCATAAGACACGGCACAACATCAGTAGTCGTTTCCGAAGCCAACCCATCCTGGTTCACAGTCCTTTACAGCGATCTTGCAGGCGTCAAGAGGAAACTTCCACGCGCAATGCGAGCCGCAACTACCTGCTCGGGAAAGCTCCGCGCAGTCGACTGGGCGGATACTCGTGACAACACTGTGAGGCTCTATTTCATTGTATATGATGACTGTCTTCGAGTCTTCTTCAGCTCAACAAAATCACTTGAGGATTTCCACATTGGACTTCATCGCAACAAAAAGCCGATGCGCGACTTGAGGATCATACAACACTGTCAAATACACCGCAAGGACATGAACAGTCGCCAGAGCGCAGATTTCGGCACGGTCCAGCAATGGACCCGACTGCGGGACTTTCCACCCCGACGTCTCGAAGATCGCTTCTACACTCCGCCAGATTCGTGAGTAGACAGGAATGCAGCTGAGAACCACAAGCAGATGATCTTACTTCTCAACTGCCCATTCTCCAGAGGTGGCCCCACGTCTTTTCTTGAAGAGGTCCTCGTGCGTACTCTGGTCTTTGGGCTAGCTTAGCGTTATGAATCTCACACTCTGCTTGGCATGCACAGGCCTGTTGTAGAGGGCACACTGACGCCAAAGTTGAGGGAATGCGCGCGGATATACGCACAGAGACTCTCGTCATAGGTTTCAGCTGGGGTTTGCTTCTTTTCCGCCCTTACTGGTACATCAAAGTCCGTAAAAGATCGAGACTTAACGTCGCCGTCATTGCGTATTTCGACGATCAGGACAATGCGAACTTTCAGAGCGCTTGCAGAGGCATGGATGCATGTGACGGACGAGTGGTGCACAGTATCGAGCATCGGCTCTCAACCCCGTCAGATGCGCCCGTCATGAACACAATCTTTATAACGGATCTCGACCCAAGTCGCTTGGACCCGACAAAAGAGCCCGCCAAACAACCTCTGACCGATTGTAGAGTCAGGATTCTGAAAAAAGAGCCGGTCGACGAGGTCATTCTGGACCACGATTATCAGTTTGTCGCGACAGACGTTTGCATGGATGCCACGGGCGTCTTTCTTCGTCAACCGACCAGACTTGACTACATTGACTTCGGTCTGGCTGTGGACGAAGACTCAGGCACGAGTTGCTGAAAGTTGTGCCACCGTGGCCAGAAATAGGCCGGGAAAGGGTCTGACCGACGTGAAGTCTTGAAGATTCTTCTCGTGGGACCGGGCGGACTCCTTGTTTGTACTCATGACTTCGGAGAGACAGGGCGAACAAATGGCATGCAGGCCTTGAAGCTTGGCATCTTTGACCGTCAAGTTGCTGAGTCAAGGAATGTGATGATCACTCCTGCCATGCTCCAAGCAGCTCTTGTACAGGTACACAGGTGAACAGCGTGGTGGCATCATGCTGATGAAGCTCACGCTAGGTCACGAATGGATGGATGTATTAAAGAGAGAGAGTGCGACTATAGTGGTGGTGTTTACATATGCATGGATATGCAGGTGAGATAGATCACGTGGTTCAACACCCCCCCTTGACTGACGCATGGGAAGGAGTTGACTGCGGAAGGCACTAGGTCAAGAACCCGTGAGGCGACAAGTACGGAAGGAGGGAGCGAAGTGCATACCCGGAGTATTGACGAACCATGGGACGGAAGGCAGACCGTTGTCTACAAGATGGATGCGTTGTACTATGTGCTGACGCGAGATGCTGCTGCGAGGTCCACCACTCCCATGCGAGATGCAAGGTATCTATGCTGATCCTTTGCCAGCGCTTTCGTTAGCAGATCTGCAACGTTATCTGCTGTAGGAACCTTGACTACAGATAAGATGCCCTTCAAGTCCTGAAGGTGCTTCTTGATGAAATGGTGTCGGATATCTATGTGCTTCAGGCGATTGTGACTAGTAGCCGCATCTTGTGCAACCGCTAGAGCGCCGGAGCTGTCAGAGAAGAGGGAGATGTTTGCAATGCTGGCAAAATCAAAACCAAGTTCATTGAAGAACTGCTTGAGCCAGAGCATCTCGGAGACAGCATCCGCAATTGCGTAGTACTCTGCTTCTACACTAGAGCGAGCTACGGTGGGTTGCTTCTGCGACCTCCACGTAATGGCTGCCCCACTCATCGTGTAGAGCCAGCCTGTCCAGGAACAACGGTCTGACTGATCATCAGCCCATGTGGCATCACTGTAGGCTTCGAAGCTGATGACGCCGCGCCGGTAAAGTAGGCCATGGGTACGAGTGTGCTTGATGTAGCGCATGACGGCCTTCAATGCTCCCCACTGGCGTTCGTTTGGGCTTGCCTGGTATTGTGCAAGGCATGAAATGGTGTATGCCAGGTCTGGGCGGGCACCCCCTGCCGCATACGACAGTTTACCAAGTAGCTGACGGAACTTCGTGGCAACTTGCTGCCCAGCCGGCCCCTCCGTCGCCTGCAATCCAAGATGGAGTTTAGGCACCATGGGAACCGGGTGCTCTGTACAATCCGCCATCCCAGCAAATTTGAGGAGCTCATTTAGGTACTGTGTCTGATGGAGAAAGAGACCTGCGGGAACCCGCTCAATCTGGAGGCCCAAGATCTTTTTGAGCGGGCCTAAGTCTTTCATTTTGTACTTTGCAGAAAGTTGTTGTTTCACCGTTGTCAGCGTGGCAAGGTTTGCGCACGTCAAGACAAAGTCGTCAACGTAGACGGTCATGATGACGAGGTGAGTGCCGGGCAAGTAGAATATGCAGGGATCCGTTTTGCATTGGACAAACCCAATTGCAAGGAGAGTGTTGCGCAAGTCGCTATACCACTCATGTCCACTCTGCTTTAATCCATAAAGCGCCCGTTGAAGGCGCCAAACATCCGACACATTCCCGTAACCCTTTGGCGGACGAATGTAGACCTTTTCGCGGAGATAGGGATTAAGGAAGGCAGTGACGGCGTCCATGGAGTGGATGACCCAGTCAAGCGCACCCACAAGCGCAAGGACAAGCCGTATAGATCCGAGACGTGCAACAGGCGCAAATGTCTCATCGTAATCGATCCACCCCCTCGGTTTGAAGGTATCCCTTTGCAACCACTCTGGCTTTGAATCGTAAAATCTCGCCGTGTTCTCCAATTTTCAGAGCGTAGACCCACTTGGTGCCGGTGATGCGCGCGTCAGGATGGTCCGTTTCAGATGTAAACACTTGACCGTCGATAAGGGATTGGACCTCGTTATCCATAGCCTGAACCCACTCTTCTCGTTGTGGGGAGCGGAGCGCTTCTTCGTAGGTCTTTGGGACCAACACATCGCCTATGGCATTTACGCGATCAATGTCTACCAACGTGCGCGCCGCAGACGGTACGTAGTTGCGTGTCCATGCTGGGGGTCTGATTTGACGAGAAGGCCGAGCAGGTGGTGGAGGATTAGGTGGCTTGTCGTTGTGGAAGTCAACGGATTGGACATTGCCGTTATCATCCTCGCGCCGCACCTCCAGGATTTCTTCGTCATCGCTGCTTGCAGCGCCGTCATCCGCAGGCCGCTTGGGAATTGGCTGGGGAATCGATGGCGTACCAGTGATGAGCGGGACTGCATCTGGCACAACAAACTCGTTGAACGTCGCGTTTCTGGAGATAATAATCTTGCGTTGGCTTGGAATCCAGAACCGGTAGGCGTGGTGCGACGGCGCGTAGCCCACAAAGACCGCTGCGAGGCCTGGCGGTGCCAATGTGAAGGATCTTCCAGGTTGATCATCCAGCACCGAAGCGCGACAGCCCCAAACACGGAGCCTGCTTGCGTCAAAGTTCCTGCCGGTCCATAGGAGCCAGGGTGATTTCCACCCCAGGCGTTTGGACGGTGCAATATTGGTGAGTAGCGTTGCCGTATTCATTGCCTCTGCTCACAGATGGTCTCCAACACCTTTGTTGTGCATCAAGCACGATGTGCGAAGCTTGATGGTACGAATCGAACGTTCAGCAACTCCATTGAGCTGTGGCTGACGTGGTGGCGAACGTGACCTTTCAATACCGTGCTCGCTGAGGTATTGGATGAAGTCGTCACTGATGAATTCACCTCCGTTGTCGGAATGGAACACCTTGAGTTTTGCGTTGAGCTTGGTTTCTGTCTGAAGGTGCCAGTCCTTGAATGCCTGTAGGGCTTCCGACTTGTGGCGGAGATAGGCTGTGTGGACGTAGCGGGAGAAACAGTCGACAATCACCAGGAAGTATTCCGCCCCCCCTTGGGACCTTTCATTGATGGAACCCAGATCGCAGTGCACACGTTCAAGGACAGCCTCTTTGCGACCCAGGCCTTCCTTCCCAAACGGTAGGCGAATGTTTTTGGCGTCCTGGCATATGTTGCAGGGGATTTGGCTGGGAGTGTAGCTCATGTTGCAGTTGTCGTTGACAGAGGTGAAGCGTCGCATTGTTTCAGGGCCAAGGTGGCCTACGCGGGCATGCCAAAGGGCGGTATTTGTGTCCTGGTCCATCGTTGCATTGAGCATGGAAGGCTGTGGTGGTGGCACGATGTCAGCGTCCAGGTAGTACAGACGGTCGCCGCTTTTCTCCCGGACACCAGTGATAACCAAGCGAGAAGACCTGCCGTGTCGCGAGTCGGTGTAGATGCGGCATTCATCACTGTAGGTCCGGATTTCAAATCCTGCGTCGCCAATGAGGCCGTGGCTGAGTAGGGTGCCACTGAACCTAGCGTCGTACAGCACATTGCGGACCTCCAAGACTTCGTCTGATATCCAGGGGCGTAGAAACAGGGTGCCGACATATCCTACGTTGACGACTGCACCATCACCAACCACAACTGGGTGGGGCGATTTCAGGGGCCTAATGTTGTGTAGCATACTTTCTTTGTTGCATACGTGTGATGTGGCTCCAGAGTCAACGCAGGCTATCCTGGTTTGAGCCACCTTTGATGGTGAGGACACGGTGGGTGCGCAGACGATGTTGAGGAACGAGAACTCGACTGGATCGGTAGTATCCTCCGTTGCCGATCCGTCCCCAAAATCCTCCTGCGGTACCTGGGCGCTGAATGCCATGCCAAATCGGGTGGGTTGGCGCATTTCCGCTGCAGTTGTTGTAGCAGTTGGCGTAGGAGGCTCTTTACGCTTGCCCGCTGGGCGTAGCTCAGGAAATTTGAGGAAGCACCTTTTGACTGTGTGTCCAGTTCGGCGGCAATGAGTGCATTTTGGCCTATGATCGGCGTTGCCATCTGTCGCCGCTAGAACGAGGTCGTTGGTCAGTGTCTTCTTGTGGTGGGCGTCAAGGCCAGCCTGGTCGCGGAGCAGGGCCTCGACATCGACCAGCTTTAGGTCCTCGAGGCGTCGCGAGTTGAATGCTTGAATAAGGGATCGATATTCGTCACCCATCCCGCTGATAAGCACAGCAATACAGTCCTCGTCTTTGACGTTGACACCCATGGAGACCAACTGGCGGTAGTCCTCGTGCACCCTGTCAACATAAGTGTCAAGCTTTTTGGATCGCGCGCGTTCTGACTTGTAGAAGTTTGCCTTAGCGCGCACTTGGATGAGGAGTCCTGCACCTTGGTGGCGTGCCTTGATGACGTCCCATAGCTGGCGAGCCGTTTCAGTGTCAGTGGCGGCAGCAAGGTCAGAGCCGGAGAGCGTTGTGGCAAGGATATGGCGGACATGGTTGTCGTCCTTCCTCCACTTGAGCACGATTAAGGCCAGCTCATCTGGGTTTGGCTTGCGCACTAGCCTGTTCTTCTCGCCTTTGTTGATAACTTCGCCTTGCTCGTCCCTGACTTCTGCGGCCGGAACACTTTCTGAGACTGTGCACGTGTCCCGATCAGGGAACTTCTCTGTTCCATCAATGAAGCCCCAGAGTTGCTTGTCGACTAGCGCAAACCTGACAAGTCTGGCCCAGTTGGCATAGTTGTTGGTGAGCTTGGGGAGGCGCCAAGACGAGCTGGACCCTGCCGCCGCTTCGCTGGCGGAGGTGACGTACTCCAGGTCGAGATTCATGGTGTCAGCGCAAAGGCAAGAGGGAGTCTGAGAGTAGGAGAGAGGTGCAAGTTGGACAAAGTCAGCCTCCGGACACTTGAGAGTGCGGCAGGTGCGGAGTGTGCGATGGATGCGTAGTCCTAATCCTGGATAAGCTTGACAGCCCGGACACCTAGGTGCGGCACCAGACGACGGCGGTAGTGGATGGAATTGCCACCTCTTGGACACTGGCGTGCAACGAGGTGGATGGAGAGGACGCACGGCGTTCCCGGACACTTACGAGGAGTTTGGTATACCAAAGCTCGTTGTGCGGCAAATGAAGTGGTGACTCGATGGGGCAGTGGGATGGAGTGTTGGTGGAGGGACTATTGGATGCGGGTAAGCGCGCACACCCAGAATGGGGCACGCGCTTGCGGGAGAGGCGTAGGAGAGTGTGACCTCAGAGTCTTCAGGCAGGTAGGGAACTTGTAGAGTTCACGCTTGGGCTCATAACCTGATGAAGCTCACGCTAGGTCACGAATGGATGGATGTATTAAAGAGAGAGAGTGCAACTATAGTGGTGGTGTTTACATATGCATGGATATGCAGGTGAGATAGATCACGTGGTTCAACACATGCGAGGTCACGTAGCCTCATGAGCACCTCCTACACCGGTTGGGACCTTCAAGCTTTTGCAAGAAGCTATGGCCGTGAACCAATTCCATGCGTAGAACTTTGATGAAGAGCATCTGGAGAGCGTCCGCTGCGAGTGATGGCAGTGAGAGCCAGTTGATGAACAGCCTGCCCCTCCCCTATTTGAGCGCTGAATTCTCCAGGCAAGCGTACGTACAGTGCGCGTTCGAGATGTGGAGCTAAGCTCATGTCCCGTGCGTAGGATGCTCTGTCGAGTTTACAAGTCATGTTGCGGTACGTGGAAATCGCATGGGCATTCACATTTTTTTGTTTTGTTTTTTGATACAAGTCTTCTCTTTCGCTGTAGCTGTCCGCTCACAATTATCAATGCTTCATTTGTCACGTGACACGCGCATCATCTTAGCTTCATGTACGATGCTTGACTAGCGTCTTCTCTTTCTTCTTCACCACGATCATCATCGCATTCCATCGCATTCACATCATTCAGACCGTGTGCCAGAAAAATCGTGCCTTGCACTGCAGACAGCTTGACAGCTGGAAATTTCGCGCATTCTTCACGTAATCTTGAGCCTACAGTCACGTCCTCATAGTCCACCTTCTTCAAGCTTGTCCCGCCTACGCCCTAATTGTATGCGCGAAATTCACCCCGCCTTTTTTCGGTCCACTCTTTCCAAGCCTGAAAGAGTGACGTACTCCACGAAAGACAAACTAATGTAAGCGCTATCAAGGTTCCGATCCACTGCGGACTTGTCTTCTTCACCTGGCATAGCGAAGCTTAGCCTTGCTCAAAAGGCCGCGCTGGCGTGATTCGGTTGTCTTCTCGTGCTCCGGTTGTCCTCTGTATCTACGCATGGTCGACCGCCAGGCCAAATTCGAAGTACTTGAGCTGTGTGGGTTCTCGAAGGTAGACCCCGGTAGCATCCATCGCAATGTCCGTCACTACAAATCGATAAGGTTCGTTGCGCGCCAGATGGATCGGCGGCACCTCTTCTTCCGAGAGGATGCGCGTGGTGCAGCGATCGAGAGGTTGCTCTGAGGCATCAGCGGTAGCGTGCATTCGATTAGGGTCTAGATCTGTCAGGAAGACCGTAGTAGTAACTTCGTCTCCGTCCAAAGGAACGCCGTGCTCGATGGAATGACACACGCGACCATCGAAGACAGCCAGACCTCTCGACCATCTTGCAATCAGGTTCCCATCTGGAGACACGCTGTCACGAGTGTTGAAATAGACGATCATGCCAAGAGAAAGGCGCGCAGAACTGGACGGAAGGAAGGCCGAGAAAGGACGGCAGAGCAACAAGCCCCAATGGTACGCAACCACCAACGTTTGCGTGCGAGTGTCGGCGCCGATACTGTGAATGTCGCCCCAATCAGCGCGTGCAACGTCGTACTGCCGTCCGGGTATAGAAGTCAGCGCGGCGGCGAGAATGTTGAATCTCGGCTCATGTCACACACCAACTTTGTCCTCAGTACGTTCACAAGCCCTCCGCTAAATCCGAGGGAGCAAGATCAGCACTCGCAGGATTCGAACGCGTTCGAGGCGCTACCCACCTTGCTGCTTCTCTGTACGTGGTGGGGTCAGATAAGTACCTCGACGGATCTGGAGTCAGCGTCGACCAACTTATTCTCGCCGAGCTATTGATGGAGCGTTCCGAACCTTGTTGGCGCTGTATGATTCCGATAGCAAGATCAATCTTAGAGTCAACATCGGTCTCAACGCTGCCTGTATCTTCCGGTGAGAACCCTTGTCGCAGGGCGAAAACCTCTGTGACCACTTCGTCCGTGAGCTGCCGGCTCGAGGCCAGATAGACGCGGAAACCCAGCTGCCAAGCGCAAAAGTAGAGACTTTGGGAGAAAGGCAAGTCCGCACAATCAGCTCTCTTGAACAGTCCAAGTCTCCGACCGCGCGCTTGAAACACTCCCATGTCCCGTGAGACGAGAGATGGATATGACGCGCGAGTGATGCTGACAGTCTCTGCAAACGCGAGAGTGTAGAAGAGCTGGATGGTCCCGCGCCTCGTGAAACCGTCAGCATAAGGTGCTTGAGCTTGGAAAGCCTCGTAGTCGCGGTTCCGCACGTGCGAATGATGGAAGCAGCCGTAGCAGCATGCCTCTATGTGGTTAGCATCCGCCAAATTCCAGTGTGTATTGAATGCAACATGTCCATCTGATCGAGTGAAGCGAGCTTCATCTACTATCACAACAGCTGTTTCTCGATGCTTTCTGCACTTCAGAAGGAAGTTGCCGTGCAGTAACATGACTTGGTCATTCTTGCCACTGTATCCCCGCCAAAAAGGCATTTCGAGGCGGATTGGAGGACGAGGGTCGAATGAAAAACCCATCTGATGACCGAGACACATGCCCATGGGGCCGTTGAAAAGCCCTTCGATCTTGAAAAGAGCGCCGTACCACCAAATTTTCGGAGACCTGGAATGGCATGGCTCTAGTATGCTTCGGTTGGTGCGCCAGCTGCTGCTGAGACGTCGATAGCTGTCGCACAATTGTCGATACGAGGCACATTGCTGGAAGTGACCTGTCAAGCTCGTCCAAGCTTCATCACATTGTCTATCGTTGCTTGGTTTTCGTGCTCCCTGTTGTGCTTTGCCAGGAAGCGGAGAAGCCTCGTCCGGTATCAATCGCAAGTGCGCCCCATACCTTCTCCAAGTGGGCTCGTGGCAGTCGATCATAAATTTCCATCCACGAGAGACTTGACGACTAAGCAGGGCTGTTTCCAAGTCGATGTTCAACAGGATCGTGTGCGTCAATTCGGCAGGTAGCACCGCATACATGCGCAGGTCTCGTTTCGGACGTGCAGTGTCTGCAGTGGTCAATTTCGAGACCTCATTGGTCAGCTGGTCAAGGTCCATTGCGAGGTTTTCAGGGCTTTCAGCGTTGGCACGGGCGCTTGGCGCAACAGAACCCATCTTACGAAGCTGTCGTTGGCGTTTCTTTGGGCATTCAGTAGAGCTCCAATGGTGATGACTGGTGGGGCAGTTTTGCGGAGATCTACTTGTGGAGCAAAGCAATTGCGTCGCCTGGCCAAATATCGATCTGCAAAGATGGGCTTGAATACAAAACTCCGAAATGCTCAGAGCGACCGGAAGCTCTTTACAAGTCGAGAATGTTGGCACTCAACTGATCTTGCAGCCGTGCCGCGCCTTGGCAGCGCCATTCGACTTCGACTTCGCGCATCAACACGCTCGCATGACCACGAACCGCAGAAGCGCCACTTTCGCCTCTTTCACTTAGCTCAACGCTCCGACGCTCCACAATGGAGTGCGATAGGGTCGTGTGTGACGCTCAAAGTCCAAAAGCCATGTCGTCTCGAGAATGATGTGATCGGGAAGCAAGACGTCCGTTAGCGCGACTCACCGGAAAGGAAAGTTGAAGCATGCGCACACAGCCGGCATGATCGAGCATGCATGGCATGCATACCCACGCCAAATTGACCATCAGATCCATGCAGGGCTCGCTCGGTTCATGCATCGGCGCAGGCACTTGAGCAGTGTCAACAAAGTACCGGTACCTATGC